CTTATAACATATCTTTATTGCCACTGAAGAAAATTTAACTAATAAATTGAAACGTCTGGCTATTTTTATAAAAATTTTACGAATAAAAAGCAATTTAATCATTATTTTATTAAAATATTTTTAAATATTAGTTCTATATTCGTATTCCCATATTCAGAAAAGGGCAACAGTAGACTTCGAGACTGTAGTAGAATGCCGTAGATGAAGAAAAATCATGTATTTTTCGATAATTGAAACGCAATTCTTCTAATGTAGTTTATTTGGTTTAGCGCGAGGGTGTATTTTCATGATCCTGTTGGAACTTTTGTTGTTCAAAAACCCTAGTGATTCAAAATTTGCCCCCAAACCGTCAGAGTAACAACTTCTCCTTTCTTACCGATGAATGAGAGAATTTTTTGTGGAAAGATTTACGTACGACATTACTCGAGATCACTAGACCTTTGAAGTTTCAACAGTTCAATTATGGCTTTAGAACTCTGAATGAAAACCAGCAATAATGAAGATATTTTGTAAAATAAAAATATAAACTAGTTATATAATATTGTAAGAATAGAAGAAGAGTAGACAAAGATTAAAATGTTTCAGCTATGTAGAAATTGAAATGTGTAAGAGTTTTAGTCAGAAAGAACTGTCAGCTTGTTATTTGAGTAATGGTTCTTCCAGAGAACGATGAATTAATGAACGTCTACCTGATGCATATGCACTCCCGAGCAATGCAAATATTGAAATAATATAAGCTGTTTGATATAAATTTGCTGAGTAACCATTATAAATAATTGTTCGTGTACCTTCAGATAATGCCGCTAACATTGTTATTGTTCCAATAAACAAACATAATGGTCCTAAAACAATTTGTAAATCACGATGACGATAATCTTTAATATTTGCTGAATCATCGAATGAGCGTATTGCAATTGAATATGTTGCAACTGTACCAAACATAAGAAATAGAATACCAACAATAGCTAAACCAGCTGCTTGTCTTAAATGAATAAATGATTCAGTTGATGGATTACTTACACATGATGAATTAAATGCATAACACATATAGTAGAAACTTGTAGTTATTGATGGTGATGTATTATTAGGCGGATTACTGTAGACAATTTGCCATGAAGGTGTACCAATACCAATACATGCAAGAATAATTGCAATAAGACTGAGAACAACAGCAATATATGCTGGAAGTTTAATATCTCTTGGATCAACACTAACAGTCATTTTTCTTTTAATGACAATTCTAAAATAACAAAGGAATTCGAAATGTACACTTATGGATTTCTATAATCAAAGAGTTCGATATATCTTCTAGAATAAATGGGTTGCCGGCTCCGGTACATAAAACTACAATCGAAATGTTCCTTTTCTCTAACTCGGATCATAATCAAGTTTATTTGTTACGTTCACCTTTTGTTTTATAATTGCAATTGTTTTTCGACGATGAAGATTATGCTAATTAAGTTATACGAAATTATGAAAGAGAAAAGAAACAAAATTCAAACTGAATTCGAAATAGTTTAGTATAGTTTGCTCAATTTTCATCGAGAAAATGCGATATTTTACAGGTAGATGGCGGGGAATCGTGGCTATCGACTGATGCCAAACATTTCTTAAAATTCATTAGCATTACGTAGCATTGATGAATTTCGAGAGAGCATCTTTCGATCGACCATAATTAGTCATGATCAGTCAATTTATGCCGTTGGGATAACTATGGTCAATACAGGAAAAATGGCGTGGATAATCTTTAAGTACTTAGTTCAACGGTGGATCGAAGCAAAATTATATCATCTCGTAGACACTTCTAAACTCTATTATTATTCAAAATTTGCCCTCAAACCGACATTACTTCAAGAAGCAGTAGACTAGAGATCACTAGACCTTATAGATTTCCATCATACTGACGAGGGAACCTATCCAACTGTCGGACGCCGTTTGACTCCATATTTTGGCTATAAGTAGGACTCAGTGAGACTAGGAAAAGCCTAAAAGGGTTTGTGCCCATGACTCTTGAAGACCCCGTTTTCTGGAAAACCAGTTTTTCAAGAACTCTAAAAGATAACTAAACCCTTCTTTTAATGAGA